ACTGTTTATTTCTCACTGTCTAATTTATAGGAAAAGAAAATGCGACATGTGATATTTGCGTAAAATGAATTTCCTTATTTTTGTAATTTAAAATTTTTATAGACATTTAAACTATGAATATAACTCAAGTTATTGGTAAATCCCGAGTACTGATAAAAATGATGATGATTGATGACAGCTTGTTATTGAAAATGATGAGAGATAAAAGAATATATGATAATAAAGATTATCATATTAGGATCTATTCGAATTCTCTTCTAAGTTTTTTTCATTTTTGTTGATTTTCTTTCGCTGTTCTAATTTGTCATTTATCGTTATCATTTTTGTTTATTGTTTATTATCCTTGTTTTTTGCCATTAATATTATATTTCTCTTCGAGGCAAGTACGCCGCATTGAAGTAGTTAGACCGTCAGTTTTATGCACATTTATTCATTCATGTGACTCTCAGTGGGGTGGAGTTTGATCAGGAAGGTAGAAGGGGAAAGGGGAAGGAGGCAGATAATGATAATAAAATAATCATGATTGCTATAATACCTACGATAATGATAGTCATGAAATCATCGTGATTTTGATAGATATGATAGTAATTAAAATGATGATGATTTAAATAGTTCAATGATAACAACCCAGAACAGTAATGATAATTATGGTTATAACAATGTTGATAGTAATATGACTAATACTAATAAAGATACTAATGATAATGGAAGTAAAAATAATTCATGATGCAACACCTACCAATCATGAAAATGAGAGTTGAAAGTTGAACAGAAAACCATCTGAAAAAAAATGATATTCAAAGAAATAACATATTTCACATAAACATAAGCCACAGCACACACAAACTCCCACCGCCAGTACAAAATACTCAACTCCATACTTACATAAAAATCTAAACTCTGGACTTTACTGTAGGTCAGCAGTCGAGACCTTCATATAAGGATATGGGAGACGAAGAAAAAAAAAAAAAAAAATACTATAAATGCAAGTTTTGATACTTAATTGAATTATTTACTAATGTGGGATGTTTAACCTGTGGACTGCATATGTAAGTCTTTCTATGTAGAACTACTTTTAAATTCATGGCGAATTGGTATTCACAGGTAAATTTATATCATCAATATCTGTCCAGGTGATATCTACTATGCTTATTTTCTTCTTTCCTCTTTCACAACACACACACACACACACACACACATATATTATATATATATATATTATATATTATATATTATTATTATATATATATATATATATTATATATTATATTATATTATATAATATATACTATATATATTATATATATATATATATATATTATATTATATTATATATATATATATTATATATATATATATATTATATATATATTATTATAATATATATATATTATATATATATATTATTATATATTTATGTTATATATGATATATATACATATATATACATATATTATATATATATATATATATTATATGTATATATTATATATATAATATGTATATATTACATATATATTATTATATATATATACATTATATATATATATATATATATTATATATTATATATTATTATATATATATATATTATATATATATATATATATTGTATATATATATATAATATATATTTATATATGTATATATATATATGTATATTATATATATGTATATTTATATAATATATATATATATATGTATATATAATATATGTATATGTATATATATATATGTATATATATTGTATATATGTTATATATATATATAATATATATATATATATATTGTATATATACATATATTATATTATATATATATCATATATATATCATAATACATATATATATATATATATATATATATATATATTATATATATATATATTATATATATATATATATATATAATATCCAGCAATGTGGGTTGGTGTTGATACAGGAGCCAGAAATCCTCATTCTCTGGGGCCTCGCAAAGTCCGGAGAAGGAGGCTGTTCTCGAGCCATAGGGACCGACACTTCTCGTAGCCAGATCACAGCCAGATACCGCATTGAAGTCGCCCAGTACTATGCGAATGTCTCGCCAGGAGCATTTGTCTACCACAGATGTGAGTTTGGCATAGAATGCCCCTTTCACATCGAGTTTACATACATCGGTAGGAGCGCACACATCAATAAGAGACACAAAGCCAAAAGTATGCTTCAGTCACAATGACATAATACGCTCATCGACCGACGACACCTACTACCGGAGTCTGGAGTCGGTTGAAGATGGCTATGGCTACTCCCTGGAGATGATGACCGCCTATTACTGGCCGACCAGTAATAGGTATACCCACCGATACTGATCGTGCCGCTGCCAAGTCTCTTCATCTCCGAGAGGTCATCCACCTCACCCAGCTGCTTCAGTTCCCTCGGTAGTAGGAGAAATCTCTCATCCTGCCATAAAGACCAGATGTTCCAAGCTCCCACCTGTAATTTTTACCCGAAAATCTAATTTCA